GTTGTCACTATGCTTTCATTGTTTATCCGTGCTGCTTTATTCTCGCCTCCAAAATGTTGTTATTTTGTTGGCTGGCATCGCTCACAGGTTTCACAAGCACTACTCACAAAATGCTGCTGATTGTCTTTATTTTTACCACCCCAAGCGAGCGTTATGTCTTTCGCCCCTGTTAGCTTTGATTGGTTTGTTTTTTGGTTTGTTTGTTGGTTTTTGTCTGTCAACAGAGATGATCTCAAAAAGCATTTCCCAAACATCCAGCTTCGACGATTTAGCCCACGCCCCATGTTCCAACTCGTCTGCATTTTACTGCGATTTGGCTTATTGCTCTCAATAGTTATAAAAACACTTATTTTTTTTATTTAAATTCCTAAAGGCCAGAGCTAATATTATGCGGTAACAACTTTATTGTTTTTTACAGCAAAAATATATGTTGGGTTCACATCATGAAATATGACTGCGCACGTGCGTTAGCCTGCGAGTTCGGCGGTCCGGGTAGCGCGCACGCGGCGCCGCCCGCAACCCCGCGCCGGCCCGGCCGGCGCCACCCCGGCGCGCGCTGCGGGCGGCGCTCTGGGCCGCGCTCGCGGGCCCCGGCGCGCGCGTAGACACCCGCCGGCTCCCCGCGGACCTCGCGCCCCCACCGCCCCGCCCGCCCGCCCGCCCGCGCGGACCCCCCGCGCGCGCCCTCGCGCCGCGTCACCGGCGCGCGCAGGCCCGGCTACCCAGCGCGCCGCCGGCCGGCTCGGTCGGCGCCCTCCGCGCCGCTGCGCCCGCGCGTGGCCACCCCCGCGGTCCATATTCACTTCACTTGCGTGCCTGCTACACATCACTGAACAAAATTGTCAGTGCAGATGTCATGGCTTATTCAAATTATTATACACCTATCATCTCGTATAATTCTCGCTCCAAACCGTCCGTCTGCATCACCAGAGGGCACACTGCGCAGCCACCACTCCTCCTCACACTGCAGCTGCACCTCTAGCAGCGCTCGGATCTGGCCGAGATTCACCTAGAATTGGCTCAACAACCTCCCCTTGCTGACAAACTGATCGTAGTATGTTTTCTCTAAATGCACGGCACAGCCTAATAAAAAAAAGCAAGGTGACTGCAAATTATTCCCTCTAGAATATCAATCTCACAGAGATTTACTTCTGCTGGCGAACAAATATGCTTGCATGATCCCTGTCCTTGTCATTAATGAATTATAATGATATAAATTATGTATATATCAATTATCTAACTAACATGAATACTTTCATCTAGTGTATTTCTTGCTGCAACTTTGGCCGCTACTAAGATTTTATGCAATATAGATGCGGATTTTGTTTTATAGAATCAAGCTAACAATACTCTAACGGCTAGCGTTTTAGCGGACTACACGTTAAGTGAGTCTTATGGGCATATGGCAGCAAGATTCCTCGAAAAATGTTAATGAGCAGTATACACTAGAAATACCCAGTTTAGCACCACACATGTGATTATCCAGTCTGATACATCTAACCCCCAACTGTTTTCCACGTAGACGCCTCAGTAGCGTCACACTGTGAACAATGCCATACCTCACCCAACACCATCATACGCTGTGGCCAGCAAGGCTGAACATCTCCCTGTGTCAAACTCTGCGTCTTCGATGAAATTTCAGAACCCCACTCATTGAGCCGGCCCGCCCCGACCGCCGATCACGGCCCCGCCCCGTTGGGCGCGCGTTCAATGTGCCCTGCGCCATCGTTAATCAAACACATGTAGCATTCTTAATCCATTACAACATTATGCGCAACTGGCCTATGGATATTGGTAAAAATTCTGCCCAGAATGAAATAGACAGAATAAGCAAATTATGCCCACTCCATTCCCTATGAATTCTATCATTTTCTTGAATGCCACCTTCTAGTATTCGAATTAAAAAATATGAAAAGATTACAAAAACAAGCATCAAAACATTAGTTATTTAAGCTGATGATGGATGTAATACAATAGCAGACGACCCATCTCAATGATGAGAACTATCCACGAATTTTCTACGCATCATCATTTAACGTGCGCGTTAGAAATGACAGAAGGCCATAGCCAGCCAGCACGCAGCCAGCAGCAGCAGGCAGCAGACAGAAGGCAGGCACAGCAGCACAGAAGCCAGCCAGCAGCAGCAGAAGCCAGCAACAGCAGCACAGCAAGCGCATTCAGGCAGGCAAATAGCAAGTAGCCAATAGCAGAGCACAAAATCAGGAGCAGTAGTAGCAAGCCAGCAGGCATCAATAGCAGCAGCAGCCAACAACAGACAGCAGTAGCAGCAATAGCAGCAATAGCAGCAATAGCGCAGCAATAGCAGCCAATAGCAGCAATAGCCAGCAATAGCAGCCCAGCCGTCACCTTGTTGGCCATCAGTATGGTATTTCTTGGTTGATCTGGAATCACATGTTGGAGGGTTCCTCGCTTCTGCTTCAGCATCACCTGATGAGCTTCTCCTGGCCGCTATGTGCAGATCAGGTTTCTCCTCTTCTTCCTCTTCCTCCTAACATCTATTTAGAAGTATTTTAATAATTCAACAGCAAAACAAAAAAACACCAATTGTCAGTCCGATGGCCTTAAACCATGATAGTTATGGTGACGTCATACCAAATTCCACCAAGTTGCAATTGGTTATATTTAAGTATATTCCTTATAATTAGTCTATATTAGTTTACAAAAGGGCAGTATAAGCCAGTCGACGCTTGTTTGTTGCCGAATTTCCCTGACACAACAAGGGATGCCAATTGATGATAATGGAGAAAAAAACACAGCGTTACCTGTTAAGCTGAGGCGAGGGCCATAACTCCTGTTGACGTTAAAGCATCATTATCCTTCGAGATTGTCATTGGCAAAGCGAGATGGCATTTTCCTCTGCAAGGTCTTCCGGTGTGGCGAGGTAAGCCATGGCTCGCCATCTATTCTTATTCCCCGTGGCAATGATTCAGTCCAGCAACCAGAAAAAAAGAGTGGAGAAGGCCAATTGATGAATTGATATGCCTCTAACTGGGCATATAATTCACAATCACGTCACATACAAATGCCTTCCCCCATATTGTCACTCAGATGTTCTTCATACATGGTCGCTTAAACCAGTTATTTCATACAGAAGCCAATCAGCACGCGAGATAACAAATGCATATACTGTAGATTTTGCGAGATGTTACATAGACAGAACAGGGGAAAATATCGTTCACCCGATAAAATCATGGAATAAGGTGTCTTACATCAGAAGAAATTTTATATCAAGGCAGTTTTTATAGTTACTATAGTTAGAAACTATGACGTGCAGGCTGAGATGTCTGAAAAATCTTACTATACATAATTTCGGCTTATTTCCATATCAACGTATGGCTATTACTTTAAGAATTCATCACGTAACTTTGTAACAACAAAAAACCCAAATTTACACATGACACACCTGCTCTTTTGTGAGGACACCTGAATTTCTCTGGTCTTCTTCGCAGCGACTGAGCTGCGTGTTGAAGGGCGGCACTTTTTGATTCTCAATGTAGCGGCTTCAGCTGATCCTACAGCATCAGGAGAGAGAGTGTATGTATGGTGCGTGATTGACAGGCTTCCAGGGGAGCCTGATTGTGGAGCACATCAGGAGAGAGTGTGTGTATGGTGCATGATTGACAGGCTTCCAGGAGAGCCTGATGCTGGAGGCACATCAGGAGAGAGAGAGGTGTGTGCATTGGTGCGTGATTGACAGGCTTCCCAGGAGAGAGCGTTGATGCTGGAGCACATCAGAGAGAGAGACGAGAGTGTGTGCATGGTGCGTGATTGACAGGCTTCCAGAGGAGCCTGATGCTGGAGCAGCATTCAGGAGAGAGTGTGTGCATGGTGCATGATTGACAGGCTTCCCAGAGGAGCCTGATGCTGGAGCACCATCAGGAGAGAGTGTGTGCATGGTGCGTGATTGACAGGCTTCCACGAGAGCCTGATGCTGGAGGCACATCAGGAGAGAGTGTGGTAGCATGGTGCCGTGATTGACAGGATTCCAGAGGAGCCTGATGCTGGAGCACATCAGGAGAGAGTGTGGTGCATATGTGCGTGATTGACAGCTTCCAGCGGAGCCTGATGCTAGAGCACAGATCAGGAGAGTGGGTGCATGGTGCGTGATTGACAGGTTCCAGAGAGCCTGATGCTGGAGCAGCATCAGGAGAGTGTGTGTATGGTGTCGCCAGGGGTCGAGCGCACGGCGTGATTGACAGGCTGTCCAGAGGAGCCTGGATGCTGGAGCGACATCAGAGAGAGAGAGAGAGTGTCGTGCATGGTGACGTGCATTGACAGGCTTGCCAGAGGAGCCATGACGCTGGAGCACATCAGCGGAGAGTGTGTTGCATGGTGCGTTGGATGTGACAGGCTTCCAGGGGAGCCTGACGCTGGAGCCACATCAGCGAGAGAGCGAGAGTGGGTGTGCACTGGTGCGTGATTGATCAGGCTTTCCAGAGGAGCCTGACTGCTGGAGCACATAAGGAGAGGAGGTGTGTGTATGGTGCGTGATTCTGATTGACAGGCTTCCAGAGGAGCCTGATGCTGGAGCACATAAGGAGAGAGTGTGTGTATGGTGCGTGATTGACAGGCTTCCAGAGGAGCCTGATGCTGGAGCACATCAGGAGAGAGTGTGTGCATGGTGCGTGATTGACAGGCTTCCAGAGGAGCCTGATGCTGGAGCACATCAGGAGAGAGTGTGTGTATGGTGCGTGATTGACAGGCTTCCAGAGGAGCCTGATGCTGGAGCACATCAGGAGAGAGAGAGTGTGTGCATGGTGCGTGATTGACAGGCTTCCAGGGGAGCCTGATGCTGGAGCACATCAGGAGAGAGTGTGTGCATGGTGCGTGATTGACAGGATTCCAGAGGAGCCTGATGCTGGAGCACATCAGGAGAGAGTGTATGCATGGTGCGTGATTGACAGGATTCCAGAGGAGCCTGATTTTGGAGCAAGGCAACAGCTACCGAGTTGACAGCTGCTGCTGCTGTCCAGTCCCCAACTCGGGACATAAGACGAACTCAAGTCCTGCACCATACACATCAAAGTACATGATTCTCCACAGGCCTTTAATGCATGTTGGGTCCAAAATGACATCAAACCTAAAGCTAATCTGTGACATCCCATAAATCCTCCCACATGCCTCAATTGCCTAGTCGACGTGCCTTAGTTTTCATCTGTGTTTACTTTTGACCATCCCAACACATTCACGCTGTGTTCCCACAGCCTGATGTATATGTCTCTGAGTGGACCGACTTAACTTGTGTATTTTGGCCACTTATGACAAGTAACTCCCTCCCAGTCCCTCCCTCATTCGTCCATGAACAACATGTCATCTGAATTTCCGGGGGAGAACCCTGGATTACAACAGTATATTCTGCAGTAGTATCTACCCGCGACTGTGAAGAAGTTGGGCAAGATATAGTTGTGGCATTTCCACACGAATTTTTCTCACAAGCTTAAGTTAAAGGCACAGGTATAAGGCAAATAATGTATTTTTTTATGTATTTAAAGGCCCACTATATGCCACTCACTATTTGCACTTTATCAACCCAGTTGTCGCAGAAAGCGATGATGGACTCAACGCGATGACGGAGATTGATATCACAGAGATGGTGGAAGATGTTGCACAACTGCAAAATATTGAAATAAAATGCACACATGCCCTAAACGGTTATTCAAGTTTCACAGCACGACAGTCACATTATAGGTATTCATATATTGCACCAAGAGTGTCCTATAGCCCAAAGTCACTAAAGTATAGGACAGTTAGCATATCATGTTGGTATGGTGGTCACATGTATGCAACCAGGATTGCCCTGGAAACAGAGTCCAATGCAAATAGTTAGTTAGTGTATGTACTATTAGCATCGATACTTATGGATCTGATAGACAGCAATGACAAACGATGAACTCTGGCGCCATAATGTGGTCTAGATTGCCTCTAGCTATATAATGAGTGAGAGGGAAGACACGCACCTGAAGCTGGATTCCTTCATCAAGCGGTGTTACATGTAGCAGTCCTTTCTTCATACCATCACCTATAACATGAGGAAGGTTGTACTCGTATTAGCTGTAGCAACAAGAACACTATTCTCTTCCCCATGTTCCCTCTGATTCCTACAGCAGGACACGTAGCACAACACTAGGTTAAGTAGGATAAGTAGCACAACGCTAGGTTTATAATTGCTGAAGTTATCTGTGTTGCATGTCACAGGGTCAATGACAAGATTTATAGCACCAGAGGAGGATGTTACCTTCTGTGTTGCATGTCACAGGGTCAATGAGCACCATCAGATGGTAGATGTCGTCATCATCGAGTAGACCAATCACGAGCAGGCAGTCCGCCAGCTTCAGCAGCGGGCTGCAGCAGACGACAATGGCACAATCAGTAGGTGATAACGTCAATCTTTCTTTTTCATTCTATTTTTCATTTCATGTTCACTGCGCAACATTTGCTCCCACAAAACAATCTAACTGCCTGGTGGATTTCTTTTCAATCGATCAAGAAATATATTTATATTATATACACTATTCGACTGCACTCAGTAAAGTTTACCTTTGAAAACACATGGCACAAATTTCGTCACAGTGGGGTTAGGTTTATTAGGTTTCTCAGTTATGACAAAATCAAGAAATCATTCACGGACAGTCAGCCATCACCAAGAAATCCCACCATCATCCGATCACCTGCCATTTCCACAACTGCAAAGCCCAGGAGACTCACAGAATTAGGAGGATTGAGGGTGATACTCATTATAGGAGTGTTCCCAACTTTAATGTCATTATAATGGTCATAATAACATATAACATATAACATATAATATATGGTCATGGTCATATATTAGTTTGTGGTTTGATGTCATTTAGGTTAGGGTTAGGGTTAGGGTTAGGGTTAGGGTTAGGGTTAGGATTATCAATCATTAATCATTAATCATTAATGATATCAAAGTTGGGAACACTCCTAATGGAGGCGTTAGCCAAGATTGACACAGAAGATGGGACCATGTGTCTGCAATAAACTAGTTCGATTAATTATGGCACTCAGCATCTTATGCTTCACTCAGCATCTTATGCTTCACGAACGTGAGCCTGAAATAAACTACAGTAGTTTTTTTCGCGGAGGTTGTCTGCACACCAAAGCTCGCGTTTGGCTGCACAAGGCTCACTGCAGAAATATTGTTGTATGTGTTTGACATTACTCATACATATTGTAATCTACCGGTACAGCACTTAGCCTCTTGAAAACTTGGGTTTTAGTACTGGTTAGTTGCAGGATATACGGTGCGTCTATCTGTACTGTACTACCATTCTGAAATCCGAACATTTCTGAAATCCGAAATGTGTCTGGTCCCAAGGGGTTCGGATAATAGATTGTGTACTGTAGTTAGATCGATTAGGGGTACACAGCGTCTCACGCTTCGCGCGCACACACTCACACAAACAGGTTCTCATAGCTGCCACCAATCGGATCCCTGCAGTGAGCGACGCTCTTCTGAACGCCGTCAGCTAGTGAAGACATCACCTGCTGCTTCAAGCAGTCCAGTTCGAACTCGGGAGCGGACAAGCCCTTGATGCTGCAGCCTCTGTTGCCGACGATAACACGGGAATAAGATGGCGGAGGGATGGGACTAGGAGACATTATTGCACAAGTGTTTACAGGGAGTTTGCATTTTAACATCGCTATTGTGTTTCTAGAAAGTGCTAATCAAAATGAAGCTTGGCCACAAAACAAAATTCCAAATCCCAAAAACAAAGATAAAGTTTTATAGATAATTTAAAGATATCAGTGAAGCTTCATCATGTAAGGTCCACAAAATCCCTACAAATTGACAGAGCTCCTATAGGAGTCACGCCCCCCCCCCCACTACAGCTTCCTCGAACTGAAGCCCGTATCTCCGATGAAGCCCCGCACGCACTTCTTCGTGTCCTCCGTCACCGGCGAGCTCTTCATCTGCGGCCGGATAGAGGTGGTGGTCGCCACCGACGGTAGGAAGGTATTTGTCTCATCGCTCAGCTTCACAGACTTGATGTCGCCCGTCAGCGGCAGAATGTACTCCTTCTGTGTCAGCAACCTGTAAGGGTTACCGCCGCGTCACTACATTAGTCGCCGTTCGTTGTGTTTGTTGTATTTGGTTTTAACTGTCATTAACGTTCGTCTGCATCGACAGCATGTGCATTCGATTATGCAGAGAAAGGCTGATACAATCTATATATACGTTGGGAATACCGCAAATTAGGGTGAAATAGCTCGACTGATCTTATTTTAATTCATGTGTGCACCAAGTTTATTCATAGGGCAGGTTGGCATCGACACTCGAATGCATTATGTGCATAGACAATTGTGCACACATACACGCACGCACGCACGCACGCACGCACGCACGCACGCACGCACGCACGCACACACACAGGCAGGCACATAGTCACACACACCTCCAAACACACGCATGCACGCACGCGGGCACGCACCAACGAACGCACACGCACACGCACACACACCTGTGCACTCTCACACACATTCTTGGAGTGAAATGTGCACACACACACACACGCGCATACAGGCACAGACACACGCACGCTTGCGCATACTCGCGTAACATCCATACCTAGCATCGACATGAGCTGTCAGATGTAGTGCAATGAGAAGGTCAAGGAAACCTTTTCGCAGTGGACCTGCCAGGTCTGCAGAGCAAACGTCAGAAAAATCAATCGCCATCACATCAAAAGATGCTGCACATCTGCTCTATCTAACACCGCAGGAAGGTTTATTGTGCTGCGTAATATACTCAGACATGTTGAGCTGTTATACGCGTAGATCAGTATCATTCTTTGACCTGTCAAGACGTACATATGCAACTGACTATGTGATGCCTCATTTCTCTAATGTATATCTCTATCAACTTCTTATATCTCTATAATCAAGCACCATGATGTGACATTGCCCATTTCGAGAGCAAACCCATTAATTAGCACGTATGGTATAAAAATTATTACTTTTTTTTTGCAGGATTCTTGTTGGAATTTTCCTACCCACATATAACTACCTTTCTAATCTAATATATATGTTACTGTAGATTAAAATATGATGGATCATTAGGCAATATAACGACTAGAAAATGTTGGTAATCGACATAGCTTACATTTTGACTGGGAGAGGTACATGAATTGCCTCTTGTCGACGTGGCCACACAGAATGTGAGCTGCCCGGTGGTTACCACGGAAACAGATAGCACAGTACAACTTCAGTGTGCATGCGTGGAACCTAGATAGTTATAAAGTAATAAATAATATAATAGTAATAAATAACTTTGTTATAACATCTTAGTACCAAAATTTATTTACTACCGTGTATAAATTGGTTTTACAATCTACAATAATTGCTCATAAAGCATGGTTTTATTTCAAATAGATAGAAAACTTGTTCACATTTACCAGTTATCATTACAATTACTCATTATTATTCTTAATTATTATTATTATTATAGATCAATGGCCTGAATCATTTAGTACCTCAAATAAGAAGGTTCATTATATGGACTTACATTAGGAGATCTTCCTGTTCAATTAACTCCAGGACATCAATACATCTATCTTCCTCTGGAATCTGCACTGCCAGCATGGAAACTGGAAACGGGCACAAGTATCACATCAGCACATCCTACTGATCACATGATTATGGAATAAGGTTGTAATGCACGTTTCTGTACATATTTCTACCTCGATATGTCCTGTTATGGACATCTTTTGCATTATATAAGTCCTTGTTATTTGCTGGATCTTTCTTACTATCTCAGTCATTGCTGTTACCTGTTCTTCATAACTATGTGGAACTCTATTACCAGCTAAATACCGTAACTACTTGGATCACCTCTTTTACTGAGATACTATCTATTTAAAATTTGTTTTTTACATGACTCCTATTATTATCCATATCTTTATTATTAACTTTATCTGGGATATTACATAGATCTTCATTATCATCTGTATCTTTGTTAATAACCATATAGTTGTCATTACCTTTATCACCATTGTTAACTAGAGGTTAATTATTACCTGTACCTTCATTATTACCTTGATCTCCAATAATACCTCTATCTTTGCCAATACACACATCGTTGTTATTTCCTATAACCTCATTATTACCTGGACCTTGGTTATTAACTAGATATGTAAAATCACTTGGATCTTCATGATCACCTAGATCTCCATTATTACTTGGATCTTCATTATCACCTAGATCTCCATTATTGCTTGGATCATCATTATTAGCTAGATCCCTGAGTATTACCTGGATCTTCGCACAGCATGCTCCAGCCTCGGATCTCGGACAGCTTCAGGGTGTGCACCTTGAGTGAATGCTGTGGAACTCGGCCCCATGTCAGCGGTGTGAGACGCTGCACGGCCAGCCGAGACGGGCACTGAGGCATCGGGTCCTTCACAGGGCCCTTGTTCAGAGCTGCCGACAGGGGCAGCGTGCCCTAAACACAAACAGTGATGGTGGGGTCAAGAAGTGCCTCTCACTCAGACAGCCGAACACGTGAATTACACTGCCGTGCATGTATTCATGTATGCATGTAATCATAAAATGCTGCAGACAGGGGCAGCGTGCCCTAAACACAAACAGTGATGGTGGAGTGAAGTAATGTCTCTCACTCAGACAGCCTGAATTACACTGCCAGGTGAATTAATACTTTTAAATACTTAATGTATTCAAATTAATACAGATAATACTTCCATACATGTATGTTTAACGCAATTAATATGCGCTACCGAAAAGGTAAGCCTCAAGATTAATGTTATCTTAAAAAATATGGTGATGTGTTACAACATGCTTTATGCTTTATGCTGAACAGTGAGGTCAACCATTATTCCAGCACTATCGTAATGTATAACTGGCATCATATATACCCCAGTCAATCAGTGGCATATATATATATACATAT